TTCCAATTGATTGTAATTTAAATTAATTATGATATGAAATTAACTCAGTTTGAATAATAAAGGAACTTCTCGGAAAATTTCATTCGGGTAGAGGTCACATTGTAATTTTTACTTTTTCTAGAAAAATTCTGAATGTGAACAGTACTTTTTCTTAAACCTCATCATTGCTTTTAATATTTATTCTATGATTTTAGAAAACGAAAACGAGATGAGATATTCCAATTGATTGTAATTTAAATTAATTATGATATGAAATTAACTCAGTTTGAATAATAAAGGAACTTCTCGGAAAATTTCATTCGGGTAGAGGTCACATTGTAATTTTTACTTTTTCTAGAAAAATTCTGAATGTGAACAGTACTTTTTCTTAAACCTCATCATTGCTTTTAATATTTATTCTATGATTTTAGAAAACGAAAACGAGATGAGATATTCCAATTGATTGTAATTTAAATTAATTATGATATGAAATTAACTCAGTTTGAATAATAAAGGAACTTCTCGGAAAATTTCATTCGGGTAGAGGTCACATTGTAATTTTTACTTTTTCTAGAAAAATTCTGAATGTGAACAGTACTTTTTCTTAAACCTCATCATTGCTTTTAATATTTATTCTATGATTTTAGAAAACGAAAACGAGATGAGATATTCCAATTGATTGTAATTTAAATTAATTATGATATGAAATTAACTCAGTTTGAATAATAAAGGAACTTCTCGGAAAATTTCATTCGGGTAGAGGTCACATTGTAATTTTTACTTTTTCTAGAAAAATTCTGAATGTGAACAGTACTTTTTCTTAAACCTCATCATTGCTTTTAATATTTATTCTATGATTTTAGAAAACGAAAACGAGATGAGATATTCCAATTGATTGTAATTTAAATTAATTATGATATGAAATTAACTCAGTTTGAATAATAAAGGAACTTCTCGGAAAATTTCATTCGGGTAGAGGTCACATTGTAATTTTTACTTTTTCTAGAAAAATTCTGAATGTGAACAGTACTTTTTCTTAAACCTCATCATTGCTTTTAATATTTATTCTATGATTTTAGAAAACGAAAACGAGATGAGATATTCCAATTGATTGTAATTTAAATTAATTATGATATGAAATTAACTCAGTTTGAATAATAAAGGAACTTCTCGGAAAATTTCATTCGGGTAGAGGTCACATTGTAATTTTTACTTTTTCTAGAAAAATTCTGAATGTGAACAGTACTTTTTCTTAAACCTCATCATTGCTTTTAATATTTATTCTATGATTTTAGAAAACGAAAACGAGATGAGATATTCCAATTGATTGTAATTTAAATTAATTATGATATGAAATTAACTCAGTTTGAATAATAAAGGAACTTCTCGGAAAATTTCATTCGGGTAGAGGTCACATTGTAATTTTTACTTTTTCTAGAAAAATTCTGAATGTGAACAGTACTTTTTCTTAAACCTCATCATTGCTTTTAATATTTATTCTATGATTTTAGAAAACGAAAACGAGATGAGATATTCCAATTGATTGTAATTTAAATTAATTATGATATGAAATTAACTCAGTTTGAATAATAAAGGAACTTCTCGGAAAATTTCATTCGGGTAGAGGTCACATTGTAATTTTTACTTTTTCTAGAAAAATTCTGAATGTGAACAGTACTTTTTCTTAAACCTCATCATTGCTTTTAATATTTATTCTATGATTTTAGAAAACGAAAACGAGATGAGATATTCCAATTGATTGTAATTTAAATTAATTATGATATGAAATTAACTCAGTTTGAATAATAAAGGAACTTCTCGGAAAATTTCATTCGGGTAGAGGTCACATTGTAATTTTTACTTTTTCTAGAAAAATTCTGAATGTGAACAGTACTTTTTCTTAAACCTCATCATTGCTTTTAATATTTATTCTATGATTTTAGAAAACGAAAACGAGATGAGATATTCCAATTGATTGTAATTTAAATTAATTATGATATGAAATTAACTCAGTTTGAATAATAAAGGAACTTCTCGGAAAATTTCATTCGGGTAGAGGTCACATTGTAATTTTTACTTTTTCTAGAAAAATTCTGAATGTGAACAGTACTTTTTCTTAAACCTCATCATTGCTTTTAATATTTATTCTATGATTTTAGAAAACGAAAACGAGATGAGATATTCCAATTGATTGTAATTTAAATTAATTATGATATGAAATTAACTCAGTTTGAATAATAAAGGAACTTCTCGGAAAATTTCATTCGGGTAGAGGTCACATTGTAATTTTTACTTTTTCTAGAAAAATTCTGAATGTGAACAGTACTTTTTCTTAAACCTCATCATTGCTTTTAATATTTATTCTATGATTTTAGAAAACGAAAACGAGATGAGATATTCCAATTGATTGTAATTTAAATTAATTATGATATGAAATTAACTCAGTTTGAATAATAAAGGAACTTCTCGGAAAATTTCATTCGGGTAGAGGTCACATTGTAATTTTTACTTTTTCTAGAAAAATTCTGAATGTGAGCAGTACTTTTTCTTAAACCTCGTCATTGTTTTTATTATTTATTCTGTGATTTTAGAAAACGAAAATGAGATGAGATATTCCGATTGAATGTAATTTAAATTAATTATAATATGAAATTAACTCAGGTTTAATAATAAAGGAACTTCTCGGGAAATTTCCTTCGGGTAGAAGGTCACATTATAATTTTTACTTTTTCTAGAAAAATTCTGAATGTGAACAGTACTTTATCATGGCTGCTCATATTTCCTGATATGGAAGAAAGCTTCTTTGCCTTAGAATTTTCTTCTGCCTTCTAACAAAAAGATAAAATCATTCTGAATCCATATTTATTCCCAATTTAACATCCCCTCCATACATTGTTTTGAACGGAGTTGTGGAGTTGTTAGTTAAAATGTTCGATTCCAATTCTGGACAATCCTAAAAGCTCTATTCAAACTACAAGTTATGCTTTCATGGAATCCTTGGATGGTATTAATTTTATTACTAAGTAAATATAAATTTTAAATTCTATTTTCCTCTTTTGTTGTCGAATAGTTCCTGAGAAATCGAATTTTGAAAATACGACTTTTTCAAAATTCCATTTCTCAGAAACTATTCAACCGATTTCACTCAGATTTTGTATCTTACAATTAAAAATGATGTAGAAAACTATATACCTTACAATCGAAACTTTTTACGACAATTATTAATAAAATATGCTTTCAATTGTCTTAAATAGTTCTCCTCGAGATATAGCGAAATATGCATAAAGTAAAATTAACATGAAGGGGTCCAAACTTCGGAGCGCTCTCCTGACCAACTTATTAAGACTATATTTCCCAGATTGCGGCTACCCCCTATATTTTGGGGGTCAGAAATCTGTTTATTCGTTTAGGTATGTTTATTCGGAGAAAGTACGTTTTTTTTTGTTTTTGGTTTCGCAACTTAATATCGTCTGCACTTATTAATTAGCATATTCGAGGTGGCCCCTTCGAACCATTAAGGTTGAGTCCAAGAATGTGAAGAAAATCCGATCATTAGATCAAAAGTTAATCAGAGTGGTCCGTTTCTTATACGGCTCACTGTACGTTTTAAATACCATCTTCCCAAAAGTATATCTCATTTTTTTTATTAAAGAAAAGTACGCAAAAAGTAAAATTAACACTGTGGGGTTCAAACTTTGGACCGCTCACCTTATTTAATTATTGGGACCAAATGGACCAGATTGCGGCTCTCACCTATATTTCCGAGTTGAGAAATCTGAATCCGTCGGTATGTTAAAATCCATCGGAAAAAAAGGTACGTTAGAGATATGTAAAAGTTATGAGAAAGTTCGTTTTCGTGTCTGATAGCGTAACTTGAAATATCGTCTGCACTGATTCTTTAGCCTATTTGAGGTCCTCCCTTCGAACCATTAAGATTGTGTCTTAGAAAATCCGATCATTAGATGAAAAGTTATTCAGGGTGGTCCGTTTATTTTTTTGCTCACTGTACATTTAAAAGCATTTTAATTAAAATTGTATTTTAGACTATAACATAATTTTTAGCCTACGACATAATATTAAATAAGCATGTTAAATAAGTTGTATTACCTACCACTGAGGATATTTCAAGTCAGAACTATGGTCGGTGCAAGCCGGATGCGGAATTCGTATCGACCAGCCATCGCCGGGATCGAACCTCGGTTCACCACATTGGAATGCGACTGCTCTATCCTCTGAGCCATCCCGGCTCTAATATATGTTATTGTTATCTATGTTACAATATATTATAATATATATTCAGGTCAAAGAGAAAGCTTAGAAAAAGAATTGAGACACTCAGGTATTTCTTTCCCACCTGTTTTGTCCTTGTTTGTTAAATACACTGAAAACCTTAATATTTTACGCAATTTTGCTCTTAACTTATACTTGTAATTTTGTTCTGTTTCTTTTTAATTTACAGTCGTACTTTGCCCTATTATATCTGTAAGTCTCACGTTATATTTTACGGATCATGAGGGTTTGTGTAATAAATTTAAATAAAAATAAAACCTTATTTTAATTTTTTAATAATTTCAAAAATTTAATTGAAGCACGTTTTTCAAAAAAAAAAAATGAATGACTAGGTAGGTTGTATTTTTATACAACGTATTTAGGTGAAAATTCAATTAAATGAAATTCAATTATCTATAAACAACGTATTTAGGTGAAAATTGAATCAAAAAATATTAAAATTCGTCCACAAGAAACTCTTTAATTATCAACAATTAAAACTGTACTTTTAGCTATAACTTTAAAACGAGTTATTATTTTTTCTGAAATATTATATACAGACTCGTATAAATGTTACAAATATTTTGTTAAAATTTCGAAATGATTTCAAATGAATTGATGAAAATTGCACTTTTTTTTGCCTAGTGTTCCTTATGTAATTAGTAGTAAAATAAAATTTGTAGAAAAAAAACTTTTATTTTTTAATGAATATTTGAATCTGTAAGAGTAATATAATCTATTTTTTTATTTTGTAGGTGGAGATGTTGAAGATGAAAGTTTATTAAACCCACTTGAAATGGATAGTTCGTGGAATTCGTCTAAGCGTCTTGTACGCAAGAAAAGGTCAGAGTCTCGAGAACTCCATCTGGAGGTTTTGGTTGTGGCAGACAGTAAAATGGCTAGTTATCATGGTAGTAATCTCAATCATTATGTTCTCACTCTTATGTCAACGGTAAGTAAGCCCTTGTCAAATTGTACCTCGCATAATTTTATCTTGTTAAGTAACATTATTTTAGCAAGAAATAATTGTCGTTTTGTTGCTCGACTAATTGGTATAAAGAACTGTACAAAAAATCTAAAGAACTCTGCTTAAGATAGGGTGCACAACCTGCAGTCCTTGAATGGTTTACGATCTGCCTTGAATGGCCTAAATTTAAAAACTGCGTGCTACTCAGAAAAATAAATTCAGTATATATATATATATATATATATATATATATATATATATATATATATATATATATATATATATATATATATATATATATATATATATATATATATATATATATATATATATATATATATATATATATATATATATATATATATATATATATATATATATATATATATATATATATATATATATATATATATATATATATATATATATATATATATATATATATATATATATATATATATATATATATATATATATATATATATATATATATATATATATATATATATATATATATATATATATATATATATATATATATATATATATATATATATATATATATATATATATATATATATATATATATATATATATATATATATATATATATATATATATATATATATATATATATATATATATATATATATATATATATATATATATATATATATATATATATATATATATATATATATATATATATATATATATATATATATATATATATATATATATATATATATATATATATATATATATATATATATATATATATATATATATATATATATATATATATATATATATATATATATATATATATATATATATATATATATATATATATATATATATATATATATATATATATATATATATATATATATATATATATATATATATATATATATATATATATATATATATATATATATATATATATATATATATATATATATATATATATATATATATATATATATATATATATATATATATATATATATATATATATATATATATATATATATATATATATATATATATATATATATATATATATATATATATATATATATATATATATATATATATATATATATATATATATATATATATATATATATATATATATATATATATATATATATATATATATATATATATATATATATATATATATATATATATATATATATATATATATATATATATATATATATATATATATATATATATATATATATATATATATATATATATATATATATATATATATATATATATATATATATATATATATATATATATATATATATATATATATATATATATATATATATATATATATATATATATATATATATATATATATATATATATATATATATATATATATATATATATATATATATATATATATATATATATATATATATATATATATATATATATATATATATATATATATATATATATATATATATATATATATATATATATATATATATATATATATATATATATATATATATATATATATATATATATATATATATATATATATATATATATATATATATATATATATATATATATATATATATANTATATATATATATATACAACAAAATAAATAAATACAAAAAAACACTATTGTATTAATATATTTTGCTTTGGCTATATTGATACAATATCAGAAAGCACTCTTTTTTGCGAATATAATCGTGTGGGCTGATGAAAAGATTATATCTTTCATTTTCCGGATTTTTAAAAGAAATTTGATCCCTTTTTTTTCTTTCCCCCAGTTGTTTATTTTTTTATTATTATTTTTATTTTCCCTCCTTTTTTCATATGTCTGTAATATATATATATATTACAGACCATAAAATCATTCGCCAATAATTTCGCCAAAATACAATTTTTTCACCGTATTTTGGCGAAATTATTGGCGAATGATTTTTCCACCGAAAAGAAAAATTTATGTTCCCTTTCGATTCAGAAAACAAAAACTCATAAAAAACGATTTATTTCGATTACAGAAATTCCCGTTAGATACGTCGCATGACCACTTAGAATTAAATTAAGTCTACATACTGTAAGCATAAGCAACAAGAGAGATTGCGTAAGCAGGAGACAAACAACCGTAAAATACAGATTGATACTTTTGTTGCCGAATCAAGTGATATTGCATGACTGAATTTTCCTACTGTTCAAGTCAATAAAACAGATTAAGTAGTAGCAAGATGTACATTATTATCCAGCTATTTTTGCAGACAATATGTTTTCTCGTGACAATACCATATGAAAAACGTCACAACAACATGATGTTGCTTCAGGTTTATCCTTACATTACTGCTCTGGTCTAAGAAGCTATCAAAAATTAACCCCGACCTATTTCTATGTCTTTGCGATCCATTGCATATTTACTCTTCTCAACAACGAAATGACTCTTGATTTTAATTTGCATTTTGCAAATAATTCAATTATGGTAAATTTGAATTTTGATTCGAAGTTTTTTAAAAGTTTTTTCTATATAGACAAAATGAGTTTTTGTCTTTCTAAGAAGATATTTGTAAGTGGTCCCGCACAGATAGACATGATCTAAAAGGTTTCTGAATCTGCACAAATATCCCTGAATATGATGTCTAAAACTTATATAAAATCTTTATTTCATTTTTAAATGACAAATAATTAATGTTTTCACGCATTAAAAATAGCACAGCATTTTTTTTAAGGTTCTGTCTGAAAACCGGTCATTTTCAAGTTATAATAATTTTTTAAATTGAAAACTTAATTGATATTATCGCCCGATTGCAGTAGAATATTTAGTAAATAGCCATATTTTAAAATAAATAAAGGCCTGTTTATCAAGCTGATACTTAACTATTTAAGTTTTCGTCTCTCCTATAAATTTAGTTTTATTGAAGCCGACCGACTTTTAATGTCTGAAGTTTTTTAAATGTCTGAACAAAAGAAATTACGAAATATTAGGAAACCTTCAACCAAAAACAAAGTTTTGTAGAAAAAGGACATTGTTTGTAAATTCAGTAAATATATGTTTTGTGTTATAAAAATAGCATTGTTTTGATTTTATATGAAAACGTACACTACCAATCATTAATTTCAATGAAAAGTTTTTTTTTAACTATTCATTCAAAATATGCAAAATTCATCACTTCTACGCAATATTCATGTAGTTGTTGCTTTTCAAGTTGATCTTACTCATTTCTGTATTAAAAATTAATCATAGCAAAGGTTTAAAGATATGGTTTTAACATGTTATTCACACAAAAAAATTGCAAATTATTTTGATCACTGTATAATATTAAACAAAACATAAAATGTCTTGTAAATTATTTAAATGAGTGCATCAGAGTTATAAATGTACAAATCAATGTATCCACTTTTTGAAGAACTTTAAATTTAAAATCTAGCATTGGTTATAGTTCTTATATTTAGAATAAGTTTCCCTAATAATAGGAAGCAATACCTTTAAACAACATAAACTTTATTAAAAAAATTATAAAATATTTTAAAAACTAAATATATGTTTTTTCATCGTCTTTTTTACTCTTTGTTTTATGGAGTTAATGTATGCATTGAATGGCTCTATTATTGCAAGACGTACTGATTTGTGGGTTGTGTTTCAAAGAAATTGGAATAACATAGGATTTGATATAATTTCAGACAAACCATCCAATAAAAATGTACTGAATAGTTGCTTTTAAAGCGGGTTACTATGATTAAACAAGAGATTAAAGACAAAATTCTGTTGTGTTTAATAAATTAAGTAATGAATGAAAGAATAAAAGATTGTTTCTACACGAAAGTTTATTACTTTGTTCATTTCTTGCAAAAAAATGCTGCGAAAACAATAGATTTATTGATGTTGATTAGTGGTAGTGTACTTTACTAAAAAAAATACTCGTAAACTATTTTGTGTAAATTCAACTATAAAATACACTACTGTAAAAGATATGTGACCTGAATTTTTAACATTTTAGGTTGGCATGATATACAAAGATCCAAGTATCGGAAATAACATCAATATAGCTGTAGTAGATATCGTAGTCTTGAATGAAACTTCTGTAAGTATATCTCTGTTTTATTTAGAAGTAATTCTTAAGTGTTACATTTTATGGTTATCCTATATAAACTGCTGTTTGTAGAAAATGCAACACCATGAAAGAATCATCAGAATCAAATGAAATTTAATGCAGAAACGACTTGTACTGATACAAATAAATGATGAAATTTTCAAAACAAAAGAAACAAATTAAGCGTCCGAAATCAGTATTTGGTGCAGCCACCACGCGCTGCAATAAGTGCTGCTATACGACGTGGCATGGAGTCAAACAGATGTTGAATATCTGCTTGAGGAAGAGAATTCCATATCGCTTGTATGCGCAACCAAAGTTCGTCTTTGGAAACTGCAGGACGCGGATCACGAGTGAGACGCCGACCAACCATATCCCACACGTGCTCAATAGGCGACATATCCGGCGAATAAGCAGGCCAAGGAAGAAGTTGCATGCGTTGTGCTGAACAGAAGTCTCTAACAGTCCGCGCAACATGTGGGCGTGCATTATCCTGCTGAAAGATAGCTCCAGGGATGCCTTGAAGGAAAGGAACGACTTCGGGCTGTAGCACTTCACGGACGTATCTGTTGCTATTGAGATTACCCTCAATTCGTATCAAATTGGATCGTCCATGATACGAAATCGCACCCCAGACCATAACTCCGGGTGTTCGACCACTATGTCGTTCAATAATACACTCAGGAAGGCAGCGTTGACCGGCATAACGTCTAACACGAACACGGCCATCATGGGTCCACAAATTGAAGCGTGATTCATCTGAAAAGACAACTTGGTGCCAATCAGCTCGCCAGTCTCTGTGCTCAAGAGCCCACTGCCGACGCAGCCGTCGATGATCCGCCGTGAGGGGAATCCTGTATAATGGCACCCTTGCACGCAATCCACGGCGCAGCAGACGACGACGAATTGACGAAGCCGACAATTGTACACCTGTAGCAGTAGACCAATGTGCTGCCAGCTGCCTGGAGGAAGCTGTGCGATCATTCACCGCCATGCGGAGCAGGTGTCGATCATCGCGCTCTGACGTCACCTTCTGTCGTCCAGTGCCTGTTTTTCGAGTTGTTCGGTGCTCGTCGGTCCACTGCTTCCAAACTCGCATCACTGTGGAACTGTTCCGCTGCATACGAGCTGCTATTGCGCGATAGGAAAATCCTCCTTCTCGAAGGCCGATTATCCTCCCTCGTTCAAACTCCGTAAGTTGCTTGAATTTCTTATTCTTCCGTCGTGGAGGCATACTCAGGTCTCACTAAACGTTTGCCACTAACAAATAATCATAGACTATTTTCAACGTCCCGCTACAGCACTTTATTTATACGCTTTCAGCATCAATTCAGAGGGCGCTGCGCGCGCCACGCACGCGCGATGGCTCTGAAACTTTATTAATTTGCATAATATCCTATATCCATTATTAAAATAATATTTCATTTGATTCTGATGATTCCTTCATGGTGTTGCATTTTCTACAAACAGCAGTTTAAGTATTTTCTTTATGCCTATCAACATTAAATCTAGGTTATCTCTTTAAAAATTCTTGAGAGTTTTTCTGGTTTTTTCTTTTTTTTTCCTTCAATTAAATTAACGTTTTGTTGCGTTACAGTTAAACCAAACTTTTTTTTTCTCAAAGGAGTTTTTTTTTAAAAGCAGCTTAAAGGAGCGTGTAAGTAATTAAAATGAATAGAGCCTTTGTTTAATTTTTGAGATTAAAAATATATTATAGGCCTTACTTTGCATAAAATGTTAACTCGTAAAATCTGATCTACAGGTTTAATAGTTTTGAGCTAGTTCGCTATATTTTATCAGGGTATGCGAGAGTAAAAATTTATATTCTTTACTACATATGTGTCCATTTGCATTAATGGCATCAGGAAGAACGGCACAACAAAATAAATTTATGATGATTTAAAAAATACTTATTTAACATTTTTATCAGACATAATCTAATTTCAGATCTGTATTTTATTTTTCGATCTATTTACTATACTACTTTCGCATACATAATGCTGTTTGTTTTCTTGCCGATTTTGCACATAAATACAGATTTATAAACTAAAAATTAATTTTCTTAGGATCGCCAAATAATTCATCATATTGCTCCAATTACTCTTCGGCAATTCTGTCAGTGGCAACACAAGCATAATAGGCCTGATGATCGTGATCCTGGTCATTATGATACTGCCGTTCTTATAACCAGGTAAATTTAACTTTTCAATGATATTCCTCTTAAATAATTAAAATTCTTATTAAATTATATTTTAATTTATTGCATATTTTATTACGCAATAATTGTTAACAGCTGGCCAGGTGGCCGAGTGGTTAGCGTGCCTGACTACGAAGTCAATGACTGCGGGTTCGAATCCCGCTCTGGGTATGGATGTTTCTCTCTCTGTGTGTTCTCTTCTGATGTGTGAATGGTTGAATGTGGCCCACCGAATGAGCGGGTATTTGTGGCAGTGTGGCGTGGGTGTATTTGGTTCACAAGTGCCCACTGGGTAACGATAAATGAGCAACACTTCCGGCATTTTCTAAGGCGAAGAATGAAAGTTCAGTGCCTACCGTTATTTAAAAAAAATTATAATAATTATTAACATTGATTTTGACGCTCTTTCGTCTAGAAAAATAAGAAAACTATAGTTTAAGTGCTTCACACTTGAATCAAAGCTATAATTTTAAATTTCATCTACCATCTTTCCATAAAGGATTATCTGGTGAATGGCTCAAATTTTCTATAAGTTATTAAACTTTTAAAAGATTGCCAATTTTGCGAAATTTTCCGACCTAGATGCAAGTTATCAAAATCAGGGCCTTATCCCCAGTTTTTTCAAATTTTTATGAGCCCAGAGAATGAAGCATTCAGGTAAGTTTTAAAATATCAAAAAATAAGACCACAAGCGCTTTTCATTTTCACCAAATTCTTTTGTAGTCCAGTTTCTGCCACGTGTTACAGCTGCCTGGCCGTCTGTAAGAAAATAATCCGCCGATGCGATTTTCAAATCCAGGGACCTTTATAACAACCCACTCTCCTGCTTGGCAGTTTCTTAAATAAACAAAAACTTGATTATTGACATTTTTTGTTCAGTTAAGAAATTTCTAAAGAAATAAAAGCTTGTGTTATAATGGGGACCGACTGCAATGAGAAATTCTCTATAAAAAAACAGAGTGAGTCATTAAAGGCTAGGCTGCTAAATTGGAAATTAGCTGCCCGGGTAGGAATTTCTGTTAGTACAAGAGCAGGTGGAAGTCTCTGGGAGCGAGATCAGACTGCATGAATTATCAAACACCGCAGCATACAGCGATTTTCACAATAAATCTCCTGCATCAGCTTCGCTGGGAGGTGCTAGACCACTCAACTTGTAGTCCTGATTTTGTTCCCATTGGCTTCCTCCAATTGGTCACCTGAAAAAAAATTTCTATCAGGCCATCACTTATCCATCAATGCGCAGACACCTGTAACAGAGCTTCTATGATACTGGACTAAAATACCATATCCCTCTGTTTGATAAGTGTTATAGTTTCGGTTGTTCTTAGGTTGGGTTGAAGCTGCGATATTGCTGCACCATTTGCAATAAATGTGTCTAGGTAACTATGTTTAGTTTTTTTTTAATGGAATACGGGGATCGTACTTCCCGTATGACTCTCGTATTTATTAATTTGCTACGAAAACTAATTAATGTAACATTCTGCTTGTTATACAGCGTCCTAACTAAATATGGTGTTCCGAAAAGACAGCCCTTAACACATATTTTTAAGTTCCCGATCAATAATGAAAACAAAGTACACGCATAGGGGGATTGCAAATTAATATTTTACTTTGGTAAAAAAGCTATTGAAATCTGCACAGGAAGGCGTGTCTAATAAACAACAAGACATGCTTGGTTGAGGTATGAAATTGAGAGGAGTTGAAAAGCGACAATTAGAAACACCACCAATTAAATCTATTTTGATGTTTATAGCATGCACCTTCCTGTGCTGTGATTCGTCAGACTTCGATGGTGTTTTTGCATAAATATTAATTAGCGACCCCCAATGTGTTAACTTTTTTGTTTTCATTTTTTGATAAGTATTCTAAAAATACATGTTATGAACAAACTCAACAGAGCATCAGAAATAGTTAAGAATTTTGAAGTTTATCAAAATTTTCAATGCGTATTATTAATAATTTCGGAGTATTTTTGGGTTCCTTACAAAGATTACGTTTGCTACCAAAATAAAATATTTCAATAAAAAAATTCTTGTTTGCGCAAAATATTCTATACGCGGGATCAAATATTCAAACTCTGGGGGAAAACTAAATATAAAGTGAAAAGAGATTTGAAAATAGAAGTGAAAGCGAATGTTTTGACTAGAACTTGTGTTTGAGTTGTTAAATTGAGAAGCCAGTCTAAACATTAGAATTTGGTGTTCATAAATAACCCACAAAGTTTCAAAATTGTATAAATATTCTTGCAGTTAGTTTAACATTTCAGTTAGTTACTTTTTGTATGAAATATTAAACAAACTTTACAAACATGGAAAAAGAAACTATTTTCGTCTCGTGGGTATTGTTCAATAAATCGATAAATTGTTCGACTTTGAATTTGTTTTTTATGCAAACGGTGGTATTTTTTGAATGGTTTGATTTATTTTAGGCAATTTTTACCTCTACATAAAATAAATACTTTTTTCAGGTGACACTGAGGAAAAACAATTTCTGTTAAATGCGATTTTGATTCTGTTAAATGCAAACAGACCTTAAATACTTTCGTATCACTGATTTCAATCTGCAACTAGTCTCTCTCTTCAAACTATTTTTTAATAACAATTTTAGTCCATTTTTTGCCAAAATGTACAAGTAACAGTGGTCGCATAAACATTGCGGCAAACTTCTAGGGGAGTTAGGGCAATCATCAGGATTAAAATAACATTAAAAACATGCCCGTAAATGTCGTATGACACTAGCGGTTTTTCTCTATTATAATAGAGGAAGCGCTCCTAGTCGCGTACGACGTCATTTACTCTCTGATATGAATTCCTATTCCTTGATAACGTGCCATGTCTCTCCTAGAAGATTTTTACAACATTTACGCTACCTTCTGTTGTTTATAACGTTTTTAAATTTGCAAATTTCGACAAAAAATAGACTAAAAACGTCATTTTTAAAAAAAAAATTAATAAAATTTCATTTTTAAAAAGAATAATAAATGTAATTTAAAAAAATTAATAAAAAAATAAAAATTTCAGAATTGAAATCCTAAGTCTTTTAAAAAAAAGTTAGGAAAATGGGTAGCATCACTTTACATTCACTCATTTATTCATCAAAAACAGAACGATTTTCATAAGAGAAGTTTGAAAAACTGAATCAAATGTTATGCCTATTTTCATAAAAACTCATTTTGAGCTATTTCCACTTTTTAAAATCACTTTTCCTAAAATCACATTTTCTTAACTATGTTTCTTTTCTTAAAATTCCATTTTGAGCTCTGTCCATTTTCTTAAAAATCGCAGTCCAGAATAAGAAATGCTTTATTCGGGTGATTATTTAATCTTTTGAAGCTAAATGTATACAACTTTATGCAATAATAAGAAAATCTTAGTAATATAAAATTAAACTTGCTAAAGACAATATTTTTGTTATTACTATAGTTTAAATTGTACCATTTGTACTTCTTCATTACGGGGTGTACAAATACTAAAAACTAATTTTTTTAAATTAATATAAATATAATCTGTTTTATTGCAGGGAAGATTTATGTAGATATCCAGGAGCATGTGATACTCTAGGTAAATATTTTAGATTCTTAAATATATTTAGTTCATTTATGACTTAAGCATGCATAAATAATTTTCTCATAAAATTAAACTTAATTTTTATCAGTCCCATTTCAGGAATATAATATCATTTGTGTTTGGTGATTGATATCGAAATTTTCCTATCGTGCTAAATTTTCAGGCAAAATCGATATTTTGTATTATAGAGCGACATTTTTGATATTTGGCGAATTAGCGAATTTTTTTTAATTTTTTTTTTACCCAAATGAAATTTATCAATGCTCACGATATTTATGGCTATCGGCGATACTCGTGATATTATCAAGTGATATTTATCAAACCGTGGTCGCTCAGGGGATAGAGCTTACGCCTTCCAATGAGGTTAACTTGGTTCGAATCTCAGCGATGGCTGGTCGATGCGAATTTCGCTCCAGGCTTGCACATACCGCAATGTTAATATAAAATATCCTCAGTGGTAGACAGATCATGGGTTAGAGTCTCCTTGCCGTAGGGCTAACCGAGGGAGGTTCTCGTGGTTTTCCTCTCCGTGTAACGCAAATGCTGGTTAGTTCCATCAAAAAGTCCTCCATGAAGGCAAATTTCTCACGATACTTGATCTAGGAGTTCCTTTGTTTTCTGGATTGGGTTTAAAATTACAAGGGTACTGAGTTTAACATTAGTAGTCGTAAACCCAAAAAAGTGGGATGGCTGTGCAATGACGGGTATGAAATAAAATAAAATAAAATGTCCTGACGTGGCTCTTTTACGCAAGATTATTTGACCAGAAATTGCCTGTGTGTGTCTCTCTAACGTTGAGCAGTGCTATTGATTTCGATCTTAAGACTAAAAAGTAAATTTCTAAGCGATAAATAAATTTGATAATTAATGGAAATAAAATTTAGAAAAAAATTATTTTTTTTAAAAAAAAAGCATTTTTTTTCAATTCTGCGTATAATTATAAATAAAAACTGAGCTGTTAATTACGATTTTAATATTAAAAAAATTAATTTTCGCGTAATTAATAAAATTGAAAATTTGTCTTCAAATTTAAGTCAAACTCAAAGAAGAAAAGACATTTTTATATATAAGTTCCATATAGTCTAGCCTACTCTTTGAAAACGGAAGCAATAGTAATTATCCATCAATTTAGACCATTTTCAGTTAAGTTATTGGTATAACAATTAATTTATGCGTCCTTCTTAGATCAATGGTTTATTAATAAGAATTTTATATTTATAATCGACTAATCTTGTCTTATTAACTTATTTCCTCAGATCAATTATTAATTATTATTGATAGAAATGATGAGTTTTTATTTCTAAAGCTATATTTTTTTTTCTCAAAGACTTTATAACAAGACCTTTTTTAGTTAAACTTTAAACTACATAGCCCCTAACGTGGGTGCTATTACACCCAGTTTGCTTTGAAGACTTATTTTGATTTTCTAAAAAATTGGTAAAAATTTTCATACATGAGAAATTTTTTAACTATCGAATACATCTAAGAATTAATATTTGATTTTACTTTGAAAAGCATCTGCATTATTATGCGTTATTAACACGTTGGATGCCATGGGGGTCACCGGTGACCGTCGAAGCCAAGATTATTAGAATTCGAGTAAATTTTTTATGCTTTTAGTTTTTTTATATTATTATTGTTACTAAAATGGTTTGAAGAAATTAATGCAATATAGAACACACAAAAATAGTTTTATTTATATACACAGAGAGGCCAACTTGCTCCGGACAGCGAATAAATACTTTCAAAAGGTAGCTTATTATTTGTGATTCTTGGTTTAATAAATTCAATTTATTAGATTTTTATCCACCACTATTTCTAAACAATTCGTAGGCTTATATAATTCACCACTTTATTCAGATATGTCTTGCTAAACTTTTTAAATTAGCGTGGCATTCAACGCGTTAAATTCTACCTAAATTACACATTAATGCAGTTATTGTAATTGTAGACTCAAATTTAACAATAATAAATTAAAATTCTACCTAATTTACTCATTAATGCAGTTATTGTAATTGTAGACTCAAATTTTACAATAATTAATTAATCTCAAAAACAAATTCTTAGAAAATTGCAGATGTCTTGGCCCAAGTAACCTCGTATTGCGGTACTTTAGCTTCTTCAACTCTTTCAAGTGAAGTTGACTCAAATTTGTGCCATTGAACAGTGGCCATGGAGACATTTTTCAGCATTTTCAAAAAGTGCGTGGCGTTTTATCGTGCCTAAAATCCTCTTTTTTTGCTTTTTCTTCATAAGAAATCGGCATATGGTATCTTAAAATTAATTTTTAAAAGGTCATTTTGATCACGAAATAATATACTGACATACTTAATTTAAGAAATGAAACGTTTTTCATAAACTTCGAACTGTTTCAAATGTTTCTGGTTAAATGAAAATTATTACCATTTTCCTCACGATTCTCTATTTTGATATCTTTTTTTTTTTTTTAATTTCCCCGTCAATTTAAGAAGGATTGGAGCGTGATTCTATTATCCTTGTTTTTTCTGATAATAAAGTCCTCGATTTAAGAATAATTGGTTTGATTTCCTAGGTTTATTATTAATCATTTTCTTCCTACGACTGTTTGTTTGCACGATTTTGTGATTCTGACAGAAGTTTTCGTTTCATTGAATTAATTAAACCATGAAATTTGCATTCCTCAGATATTTACCGAAATATCAAAAAATTCTCTTTATAATTGGCTTTAGAATCGCTCTTTTCTTAGTGCTGGGATTCTTAACTTTGTTTTCTTCAAATTAGAGTTTTTTTAATGTAATAATGATATCAAACAATTATCAACTGGCAAGTCATTTGAATCGTAAGGATATTGAATATGAGAATTCGCCGCTCAAATATTAAGATTTAACGCTTTTGGACTTTTCCCATTTTGCTTTTTGAAGTTTAAGTTATTTGACACATTGTCTTATAGTTTGAAGAATGAAGTTGAGTGGGCCGGGATAGCCTGGTCGGTAGGGCGTTGGGCCCATTTACAAGAGTTCGTGGGTTCGAACCCCGCCGGTCGAAGACTCTCCGTGTAGTAAATAGTAACTGATGCACGTTAAATCTGTCGAGTCGCAAAGTCCTCCATGTTCTCATAACAAATCAATACCTCTGGGGTCTCTGAATTGGAGATTGATCGTTCTCCGATTCAGGTTAAAATTGAAATCTGTGAATGAAATCGAAAATCTGTGGATAAATGAATGGATGTATGAATAGGTCTGTCCTATAAACAGGTGTGACGTATGGGTGTGGCAGAAGTCGAATTCTTGGCCATAGATGGCGCCACTTTGAAACAATAACAATCGCACCCATCTGCCTTAACAGGCATACGTCAACAACATCAAAAAAGTTGAGTATCATTGCAACGAAATGATACCTCATTTATGCAAAATGGCGATAAAAAATTTGACAAAAGGGTGGTAACGAATACCGACTGCTGTATAGGTATAGATCCTAATTTTCTGAAAATAAGTAGAATATTATTACATATTGCTTTATAAATCCGTTCTAATTTTCTGACGATATTAAAAAATATATATTGATATATGGTCTGTTAGCAACAATGAATTATCATGTGATATGGAAACCATGAACTGGAGTGTTCGAAAAGTCAGCAGTCTAGTTTCAAAAATTGATCTTGAGAAATGAAGCAATTAAGGGCCGAGATAGCCTGGTTGGCAGAGCACTGGGCCCATGTCCAAGAGGTCTTGGGTTCGATTCCCACCGGCCAGGAGACTCCCCGTGTAGTAAACTGTGACTGATGCATGTTGAATCTATCGAGTCTCAAAGTCCTCCATGTTCTCATAGCAAATCATACCTCTGGGGGGTACTGATTCAGGAGTTTCCTTGTCTTCTGGATTGGTTCAAAATTACAAGGTAGCGGAGTTAAACATTAGTGGTCGTAAACTCATAATTGGGTCGGTTGTTCAACGACGATTGTAAAAAAAAACAAAAAAAAAAATTAAGCAATTGGATTCGAGTTCTATGGTCTTCGTGCCGAATGTTGCAATACAAAAAAAAAATCTTAAGGAATTGGTCATTTCTTTAGTCTTATATTTATCTGAATTCAATGAAAAAATTTTATTAAAATTTCAAGATTAGTAAAAATTTTAAAATCTATTTTTTCGCAAATTTCAACAGAATATGCGTAAAGGTGTAAACCTCATAAACTATTAACACCAAATTAGGCCTTTGTTTAAAAATATGTTTCAATGGGATCCACATTTGCAATTAACTGAGAACCCAGAATATGAAGATAAAGTATAACTCACTGCATTTACTACATTAATTTTGACTCGTTTGTTTGAATTTATTTCTTGTCGTTCATTGTAATAATGAATAAATCTTTTTCTTTTTAGGATTAGCACAGTCTGGAATGGTGTGTGACTCTGATAGCAGTTGTGCTATCGTTGAAGACAATGGACTTAGTGCAGCTTTTACTATTGCTCATGAACTGGGACACGTGTAAGTACAATTGTATTCCTTTATAATGTATTTTATTTTATTAACCGTCGTTAAACAGCCAACACAATGTTGGGTTTTCGATTACTAATGTTCAACTCCGTAGCCTTGTAATTTTGAATCCAATCCAGAAGACAAGGGAACTCCTGTATCAAGTATTGGGAGAAATTTGCCTTCACGGAGGACTTTTTGATGAAACAGATTGGATTATATTCAGTATAATTTTATCGCTTATATAATAATTTATGATCTTTTTTTTCTGTTTGCATGCCAAAAAAAACGATTGTCTATATGAAAATATAAATGTTTTTACTCTCGTTGGTAGAAATTTCAAATTATAATGACATGAAGAAATATTCGAAATTTAAATTTAGAAAAAAAAAAGATTTTTATCGCATTTATGAATTTATTTCCAAAAATCCGATTACTTAAAGCTTGGTCTTGGGTCGTTAAATAAAATGAAAAATATTTTTCAAGCTAAATTTTCAAAACATATTTGCATGACGCATAAAAAAGAAATTTATCGAATATTTTTGTTTAAAATAAATTGGCGTAGGTGGAAAGGGAGGGGTTTACTTATAATGCATTAATTTATTTAAGACTCTGTCTTTTAATGTTTTAATTCGTTAATTTAAGATCATCTCTTTATCCTTATCGCTTCTTTATCAGTAATCTAGATCTAAGAGAAACAGTTATTCAACATTGAAATTTCTTTAATTTTCAAAATCAATCATCGTTAAATTTTTTAATGTGATTGAAAACAATTTTTTCAAACTACTTTTTTTTGGATTTTATATGTAAACTCAAATATAACTTCGATAATCTAACCGATTTTTTGAGTAACTGTTAGACTAAATAAAATCTGCTAGATTATCAGAATTATATTTGTGCTAATAGGTTAAAAAAAAAAAAGTAGTTAGAAAATTTTTTTTTGGCTCACGAGAGCTCAGGGGATGCAACGTTCGCCTTTCAATAAGGTGAACAGGGTTCGAATCCCACCAATTGCTGGTCGATACGAATCCACATTCAACTTGTACTAAACAAAGGGCTGACGTGTAATATCATCAGTAGTAGACGGATTATGGGTTAGAGTCCCTTTGCCGTCAGGCTAACCGTGGGAGGTTCTCGTGGTCTTTCTCTCCATGTAACGCAAATGCGGACTAGTTCCATCAAAAAGTCCTCCACGAAAGCAAACTTTTTTCAATACTTGATCCAGTAGTTCCCTTGTCTTCTGGATTGGGTTCAAAATTACAAGGCGTCGTAGTTGAACATTAGTAGTTGTACACCCAAAAATTGGGTCGGCTGTTCAACGAAAGTTATAAAATAAAATAAAAGTTACTGTTAGACTGTTTTTTGCATAACTAGGAAATATAAATATATTTTTGATTAGAATTAGAACGTCAAAAAAAAATATATATTAAAGAGACATCAGCGCCCCACCTGCGTCAAAGGGTTAAAAATATTAGTGCACGCACATGCGAATTTGATAACACTTGTAGCAAAAGTAACATTAAATTTTGAGTTGCATTAAATGCTTCTCATTTAAATACCAAGCAGTTCGCATCAGAAAATGAAAGCAATTCATCAAGTTATATTCTTTTCCGTAAATTTTCATCTTAAAACAGGAAGAAGCCTCGACCCTAAATTGACCTATGACGCCTCTGCCCAACACTGACTCTAGACTAAGTAAAAACGAATATTTTTACTTTTTGCCGCCAAGGTCGACGTCTCTCTCTGCAAAATATATTTCTTCTCAATCTTAGGTTTTAAAGGAAGATTGTCTGTTAGCTTTAAATAGTTATGTCAGAATGTTGTGCACGCTTCTTTAAACCTTATCTCTGGAAACTGATTTATGAGTGGCTTGAAAAAAAGTTTTAAGAGTACTTTACTCAGTTTCGGAATTGTAACTTTCTAGCCACAACCTTGAAATTCTTTTTTTATTTTCGGAATTCGCTACTTTTTAACCGTTTTTTTTCAACAATTGTAATTACGTGCATAAAATTGTAAAATTGTATTTTGTGTAACTTTTTATCATTAAGCTCATATACGATGTTAATTGGATAGATTTGCTATTAAAAATGTGCTGCTTTTTGACAGTTTTGAAATTATTTTAATTTCGTAATAAAATAAAAATTTTATTTGATTTAACTCTGCATTGTTATTAGTTACTTATTCTTGAATATATAGGAAAGATTTATTTCAAATAAAGATTATTTAAGTAACTTTTTGAGAGACATGATTTTTGTTCTTGCATTAATGAAAAAAAAAAAAACATGAAAATTATATATTTTATCTGATTGAAGGTATTATGTATTGAAGAACCATGAATTTTATTTTCACCACCAATTTTCTTTGATTTTCAAGTAATTCATAAATTAAAAGATAAATTATGTAATATAAATTAAATTTTAATGTGAGAAAAAAATATTTATTTTATTTCAAATTTATTGTGCTGCGCTGTGCAATTGAAAGATTAACGCAAGCGATAAAAAAAATCCGAAATTTGAGATTCTTATATATTTGGTATTTATGTATGATAAACTATATATATATTGCAAAAAATAAAATTTCAAAAATAAATTTTTTTCTATTAGTTTTCTGGAATTATATTTTAGCGTTCATAGCATTAGCAATAGAATGAAAATAGTTGTCAAGCCATATCTCTCGAAATCCACCCTGAAGTACTTATGCTATTAAATTAATTTTAATTTAAAAATAATATATTTATTTTATTTCAAATTTGTTGTGTTTTTGTGCGTCGCAACTGAAAAATCAACGTAAGCGACAAAAAATTCAAAATTGAGATTTTTATATATTTGGCATTTATGTATGATAAACTTTATATATATTGCAAATAAAGTTAGTTATTTGGAATTATATTTTAGCATTCATAGCATTAGCAATAGAAAGAAAACATTTGTCAAGCCACTTTTTTCGAAATCTATCCTGAAGCACTTACGTTGCTAAATTAATTTTAATTTAAAAAGATATATATTTATTTTATTTCGAATTTATTGTGGATTTTGCCCAGCAATTGAAAAATCTACGTAAGCGACGAAAAATTCAAAATTGAGATTTTTATATATTTGGCATTTATGTATGATTAAGCTTCATATTGCAAAAAAAAAAAATTGTAAAATAAATTTTGTTCTATCAGTTTTCTGGAATTATATTTTAGCGTTTAAAACACTAGCAATAGAAAGAAAATAGTTGCCTCGAAATCTATCGTGAAGCACTTACGTTGTTTTTTCAATTGCACGGAAGAATAAGTTCACGAATAAAGTGTATGATTGATGTAAGTTCATGGTAAATTTTTAAAACTGTTCATAAAGCGAGACCAAAGGGTTAATTATCATTTTTTAAAATAAAAATTACCTCAATTGAAATGTGATTATAACTGTTCACAAAATTTCACTGAAATTCCTCGTAACTAACAACAAAAAAATCATACATTTCGACATTTAAAATTCCAGGAAAATATTAACACTTTGAATTAGTCTCACCACAGGTATTTAATTACATTCAAGTAGATACCATATTAACGAAAACGAATCGTGACCTGCGGTTATTGGCGAGAAGTTACCGGACTTCGTTGAATAGGTTTTTTTCAAAGGTTTTCATACTATTGTATTAATACTCAGAAATCTTATACGTAATTTCGGGATGAATCACAAAAACTTGTTCTAATAAGGATATTAAAAATCATTTATATATTTTGATTTTTAACTTCCGTTTTTATTTTTTTAAAACTAGTTTTAACAGCAGTTTTCAACTAAAATTGCAATAGTCTCATATCAACTATTCGTCATTAGACATTTCGCCTTGTAGAAATTTTATGTTCGGATATTTCACCCTTAGACTTTTGTTCGCTCGTACATTTTCGTCCCAGACTTTTTGCGCACAGATATTTCCGGCCTTGATTTTTCGCGCACGGACATTTCCGACTATGACTTTTTGCGCTCTTTCCTACATTTCCTTCCCTAGACTTTTTACGCTCTGATATTTCCCGCCCCAGACTTTTGTACTCGCGTACATTACTCTTCCTGGCATTTTATGTTCGGATATTTCACCAGTAGATTTTTGTTCGCTCATACATTTTTGTCCCAGACTTTTTGCGCACAGATATTTTCAGTCTTGACTTTTTGCGCACGGACATTTCCGACTATGACTTTTTGTTCTCCTTCCTACATTTCCTTCCCTAGACTTTTTACGCTCGGATATTTCCCTCCCTAGACTTCTGTACTCGCGTACATTACTCTTCCTAACATTTTATGCTTCGCCATTTCCCTCCCTGTCTTTCTACGCTCGAATAGTTCCCTTATTGGACTTTTCTTCCTCGGTGTAGGTAATAAGTTTAACTAACTGTGAATCATTTATATTTTTAAATTTTTCTTTTTAAAGTAATACTTACTCTAAATAAATTTGCTTTTTTTCTAACAAAATTTTGTTTAATAAATTTTTATTAATAAAATTTGCAAAAATTTCGAAGTACAAAAAAATTTGCTCTTCTTAGTAATTATAGATTTTTGGACAGATTTAAGCGTCCGATTTTTGATGTTTTGAACATCAAAAACATTTTTGTTTTTAGACAGATTAGAAACAATTTTTGAATCAAGAAGGTTCCAGATTAGTGTTGAACAATACTGTCTGGTTAATTTTGGTTAAAAAAGAACTGAACCTAAAAAAAAAATTCTAACAACTTGTGTTGATAATGTTTTTCGAACAAAAAAGTAGCTGATAAGAAATTTTTAACAATTTTTAAAGAATACTTAAATTCTTAAAGAAACAAAACTGCTTTTCCTCCATTTTAAACCTACATTTTGTTTTCAAAAAATATTTTTTCAAATAAAACTGGTTTAATATTTAAGAAAAAAGGTACAAATCTGTAAAATATTCCGCAAATTGTTTGATTGATAGATGTAATCTCTTTATTTACATTAATTATGTTTTTATTTGCTCGTATTATTTACACATTTATATTCAAGTCCTATCTACTTGCTTCGAGTTAGTCACCTTGCAACACTTTAAAGCAATTATCGTAAATCAATGTTTTAAAGGTGAAGAAAATCTTCCTATTTTAAGTGCTTATCTCTACTTTATTTAAATCTGTAAACAACTATTTTAGAGTCTAAATAATTTTTAATATTTCCTAATAACTGTAATTAAAAACGAGAATTATCTTTAGATTATGCATATCTTATCAGTGCTTCTAAATTAACTGGAACTACTTGGGTGGTTAATTTTTTGGCTGGATATTAAATGTTTTGATTGTTGTCAGTATAGAGTTTATAATCGGGAAGCATTTGGCGACGTAATTTAAAACAACTTGATGATCGCTGTACTTAGTGATTATCTCGAAGCACTTGATTCTGAAATTGATTAAAAAGCAATTTGTTTGCTTTAATGATCGTGTCATCCTTTAAATCATTATTTGTTCGATAAGATAATCTTCAACATAATCATGTATAATTTCTTTCTTACATGATGGCCTACCTTGTCAAGCAAGATACCACAAACTATCTTTGTTAGCAAAAGAAATAAAATGAATTGATAACTTAATGTAAATTTTTTTAACAGAAGAAATAGTTGATGTCTAAATACATGAATCTAGATTAAAAAAAAGAGATAAACAAAAGTGTATTATCATTAATTGAATCCAAAATGTATATTTTTTCTTGATTTTCAACCGTCAAAAGGGTGAGGACGTAGGAGGAAAAATGTAAATATGATTGGTATTTAATTTTAGAAAATTGCTAATAATCATTAGTAATCGTAATTTATAATTGATAATTTTCGAAACTGGAAGGAGAAATGTAATAGCATGTGGTATTAAAGAATTTAAATTGTTTTTTTTATTTTGAAAAAATTATATCAACACAATTCAACAAAACAGATTGGTATTATACCTCTGTTTTCGGAGTTTCGAAAAATGTCTCTGTTTTTGCTTTATTTACTTTAAAAGAATTTTTAAGCTTCGCAAAAATCAGTTTAAATGCAAATTACAGTTTAAACAAATTTTTAAAAATGTAGTCACAAACGATTGAATAATATTAAATTACGTACCCAAAACTACCGAGAATTTTAAGGATTTAATAAGTAATAACATTTATGCAAACGTTTGCAGAAATATATTTTACGAACAATGATTTGGATTTTTATAAATGTTAGTAAGGAACTGCACTGGGTTAAATCCAATAACTGACAAAAGTTTGAAATAATTACTTATGACTGCTTTTTTTGTTCAACAAGACAGGACAAGCGACGTTTTAACTTTCACCTTTTTATTTATTTATTGACTTTTTATAATTATTTATAACTAAGGCCCTGATTTTGATGACATTTCCATTTTTTGCATTTTTGGACATTTTTTGTCCTTTAGAGCATTTTTTTAGATTTATAGGGCATTTTTCTTTAAATTTTGGGGCGTATTTTGCATTTTAAAGCATTTTTTTAATTTTTTGTTAATTTTTTCTAATTTTTATTATTTTTTATAATGTTTTATTATTACACTGGCTTCCAAACAATGAAGAAAATCTCTAGGATATTAACAGGTAAAGCAACATCTTTTCAAATTGAAGAAGAATTGTCAGTAAGTGTGACCGTCCTTTACAAGTACGCACCAATAACATCAGTAGATGTTGAAAGAAGCTTCTCCTAGTATAAAAATTTACTTTCAGACAAGAGACGCTCGTTTACATTTCAAAATATTAAAAAAAATTTAATAATCCAATGTAGTTCTGATATTTAGTAATATTATGAGATGGAAGTTGTCATATTCATTAAAGTTTCTATACGAAATGAAAATGTTTTGGAGTCAATATATTTTCCTTTCTCTTTTTTATTTTGGGATATAAAACATATTTTTCAAACTTTAATGAACGTAGAACAAGTATTGCATTGCTTTATATTTTTTGAAACGAATCATAATAATTCTAAAGAGTAAAACATTGTTTTAGTTCAATATTTTTACTTCAATTTAAGCCATGTAATAAGGCATTTTTAGCGCAATTTTCGCATTTTAAGGGCATTTTTTGCACTTTTAAGGGCATTTTTTGCACTTTTAAGGGCATTTTTTGCACTTTTAAGGGCATTTTTTGCACTTTTTAAGGGCATTGAGATTTTTTAGGTCATCAAAATCCGGGCTCTATTTATAACTAAAAAAATTATAAAAATGAAAAAAAAATGAATTTTTTTAATTTTTAGAAATAAAACTAAGATTGTTATTCAAAAAAAAATTCCAATTTTTATAAAAACACAAATGTACTAAAATAATGTAAATGAAATTTGTTTCCAGGATGAGTTTACCACACGATGATGATCCGAAATGCTCTCGCTTTCATACCCACAAAAAGCAACTTCATGTAATGGCAAGAATGTTGGATTATAATAGCCATCCATGGAGTTGGTCTGAATGTAGTAGACATTACCTGACAACATTTTTTGAGTAAGTATTCTGTTTTTACATACTTTTCAAAATTTATAGAAATTATTTTACTTATGCAGGATATTTTTGAACAATGTTACAAATTCGGAAGGGAGGGACATACTACGCAATTCTCAAACTTCATGTTTACCCATAGCTAGAAATGTCATCGTATGCCGATAGTGCCTTTGGGCCAATACTGGCATTTATTTATCCGATTTATTTTTATTTTATGTTCGTGTCATGTTTTCTAATAATTATTGTATTCAATAGGTATACATGCGATATACGAGCTCGTAAAATTTGTGGAATCGTAAGTCCTGTGGTCGGTCACTGAGCAGTACCATGAATGCAGGGATCTGGATAAAATTTCCTTCCCCTTCAGATCTACGTTTAAATTGAGGATGTAGCCTCATGAATGAGGGTTGCAGCCATCTATTCGTGGGGTTCAGTGCTAAGACGTACTTTCACCCTTGCGATGCTCTCGGGTCAAACGAAAGGCGTACATTCCTGACTTAATTCGCAAAAGCCCAATAGCTAGAGAGCTTGGCTTGTTCTAAGTGTCATTAGAAACAATAACGTATTCAAACAGGCTCAGATATTACTAATTAAACGTAATTGGCTGGCATGGTTACAGAACTGACGTGCTCTGAAAGTTGAAATAATAAATGTGAAATAAAATAAAAGGTGAAAAATTTTACAATTAATTAAAAAAACTGGAAAATTAATGCAAAATTTTTTTAAACCAGTTGAAGTATGCAGTCTCCCTAACATACCACTATTCCCTGAATTCCGCCGTCTTGAATTCGATCCCTGACGGTCGAAAACTCCCGTGTCCGAAATGGTGACTGGTGCATGCTAAATCTGTCGGGGTCTCCAAGTCCTCCAAGCTCCCATAACAAATCAATACCTCTGGGGGTACTGGATCAGAGATTGATCGTGCTCTGGTTCAGGTCAAAATTATAATCTGTGGATGGATGGTGTGTGAATGTGTCCTTTCTGTAAAACGGAATGTGACATATGTTACCTCTGGATCATCATACTCAGGAATGTTTCCCATAGCCCATTGTGCAGCTCTAATGCGAAGTAAATAAAAATGTACGAGTATCGCTAATTAAAAGGTTTTTACCCGTAATATTTATTTATTTTTATTCTTATATGCTATCATTATGCTTGTGAGTTTGATTTTTTTTCCTAAATTACACACTAGACGTCAAATTCAGATGCAAGTTTAATTATGTTCCCAACTATAAGTTGAATTCTTGATTTTTGAAATAAAAACCGATGAAAATCAGCCTTTAACATGAAATTTTATTTTAATTCTAGCATTGGCTATGGACGATGTCTCACAGATAGTCCAGGACGTAACATGTTGCTATTAGATGACGAATTTCAACAACCACCAGGACAATTGTATCCACGAGATCGTCAATGTGAATTAGTATTTGGTCCTAAATCCAGGATTTGTCCTTATATGCCCGAATGTAAAAGATTATGGTGTACTTTGGATGATACTATGCAAGGAGGCTGTCGAACTCAGCATACACCTTGGGCTGATGGAACTCAATGCAGTGATACAAAGGTAAATTCTTTTTAATTAGTTCGTTAATTTTAACAGTTCTCAAAAGGCGGGAATATAACGCAGATCTAAACTTGAAGCTCTGACAACAATTAAGTTTAAATACAATTCACGATAACATTTTGAGAGTAAATTCATGATTCTATCTAGTATTAACATAAGCTTTCTATAAATGCTTTAAAAATTATTTTTCTAACTAAAAGGTGTCCAATCTAGTAGTCTCTATGTAACTTAAAAACATAATGGTCTAACAGCATGTTCCAATGCTATCGGTGCATTTTTATTGGCCGAAAAATTGCATGGTAAGGTCCAGTTTTCTCGCATTAATTTCCCTATTATTTGGTTATCATCAGCGTAAAATGAATAAACGTTCTAAAGGTATTATTTTTCTACAAATTTTTTTTTGTATCGCCGATTGAGGGGTCGGGATAGTAAGACATCGGACGCAATTTTGAGAGGTCGTGAGTTCGATCCCTGCGCCGATGACTCCCCTTGTACAAAAAGGTAACGGGTTTCATGCTAAACATATCCAAGTCACAAAATCCTCCGAGTTCCCATAACAAATCAAACCCTCTGGGGGTACTGGATCCATTCTATTCCAATAGCTTCCTTTGAGCTGTGGTGAAGCAGGGGCTAGAGGGTTTGCCTTCGAATGAGGTGAACCGGGTTCGAATCACAATGATGACTAGTCAAAACGAATTCCGCACCCAGCTCGCACCGACCACAGTGCTGCCAAAATATCCTCAATGAAAGACGGATCCTAGGTTAGAGTCTCCTTGCCGCCAGGCTATCCATGAGAGGTTTTCGTTGTTTTCCTGTCCGTGTAACGCAAATGCGGATTAGTTCCATCAAGAAAGCGAAATTTCTCCCAATACTTAATCCAGAAGCTCCCTTGTCTTCTAGATTGGGTTCAATATTACAAGGCTACTGAGCTGCAAATTTGCAGTCGTCAAATCAATTGTATTGGCTGTTCAACTATGGTTATGAAAATATAGTTTATATCAAAATTTCACTATTAAAGCTTCACTTTGAAGCTTCACTATTTCTTGTTTAACAGCATAATTGTGACAATGTGGTAAGCAATATGCACAAGCCAGCCTCACAACCTAACAACTTTTACCTAAACACAAATTTTTACCTATCGATCTACACTAAGTTAGATGGACTTCAAACAGCCACTCAGGTTCCAACCCTAGATCTTTACCACAGAAGTTAGTGTTTCAAGTCTCTGAGTCATCGAGGCTCAACACTATAAAAATATCTAAAATTTGTTTGAAATTTTACTGCATAAATAAAGATTATCTTTGTTTTATGCTCACTAACTTCACTCCGGCAAGATTCATAAATCCTTAATACTCATTAAAACTCTGCGCGTCATAGAGTTCGCATTCTTCAAGTTTTAATTTGCTGTTAATGATAGAATTTCTACTGTTAATGGTCGGTTACTTGTTGCCAAATGCACATCAGTCCTTCCTTCACTCCAAGATTGTCACTTAATACTTTCATCCACATGGCAAAATAAGTCATTGTACAGTTAAATAAGACTAAAATATATATTTCTTCTTTTTCACTTTTACTGATAAATTTTAAAAAAATTCATCTTTTCCTGATAATTGATAATCTGATCCTGATAATTTAATCTTTTCTTGATATATCATTATACAGTTAAAGGGACTAAAATACAAAAATAAATCATTGTACAGTTAAATAAGATGATCTTTTCCTGATAAATTTTTCTGAATATTTTATATAGATATCTCATCCTATACATCTCTACTATCTGACCCCTTTAAAGCACATCATACATCAAAGATTTGTGCTTGAAAAATATCCCCCAGTATTAAAATAAATAATCCCAAAAAAGTGGAAGAATGTATTTGTCAATAGAAGAACTTTTTTAGCTTTAAAAATTAGTGTGTCGTCTTGATGCTGTGGAATTTCGTTACATTCATAGGAAAGCTGATTCTCTTGTAACTGATATCATTTTCTCACGTCATCCATTTCGTCTAAAAATGTATTCTGTCCTGATTCTCCTCTTTCGATCAGCGTCGCTCCCCTTGACTACCGCGGTTTTCTCACTTAAAATCATTTTCTTTTTTTTTTTCGTTGACTGTGTTGTATTTCTCTTTTCATATAAAATCCTTTTGTTTTGAATTATGTCATCTTTTTTCACCTTAATTTTTCAAGTTAAAGTTTTGATAAGTATATCTCGCAGTTTTGTTCTACGCAATAAGTTTCACGCTTTCAAAATTGTTTATCATAATCCTTAATATTATAAAATCTTTTTTATACTATAAATTTAAACTATTTGGAGCGGACCGGTCTGTGTAGGGGGCAGGGAACTGTCCTTGCATCAGAAAGGTCCTGGGTTCGAATCCCGGGTAAGGCATTGGTGTTTCTTTCTCTCTCTCTCTCTGTGTGTTCTATGTCCTTTCTCCTTTGTGTGTGAATGTGACCCGCCCTATAAACGAGCTGTGGTTGTGAGAATGGCGTGGCAGAAGTCGAATTCCTGGCCATAGATGGCGCCACTGAAAAACAGGAACAAATCGCACTCCCACTGCCTAAACAGGCATACGACAAAGAAAAAACTATTTGGATTATTCATTTATTTATGGCTTTATGGATGGCAATGATCAAGTGTTCCTTGTGCTTGTTAAATATAGAAATGAGTCTGCAAACTAATCTGAAATTGATTTTGAACTCATCTATACAATTCTACTATCTAATTATCGAACAAGCCATTTCATGAAGCAATAAGAACTGATCTTGAAAAAAAATCCTGTTCTGCGCAGCAATTTTCATACATTCAGAAGTGTTTACCAAAATCCTAAAAGCAGGATCTTCACACTATAAATTTAAGATGTTTAGACTAATTATTCATTTATATCATAATGGAACTCAATAGGCAATGATCAAGTGTTTATTGTGCTTGTTAAGTGTGAAAAAAAGTCTGCAAACTTATGTGAAGTATTAATGATTTATGCAAAACTGTCCTTTTGAAGCTTATCAATTAGAAACGATGTCATCTCCTTATTAGTGTGTGGTCCTTAAAAAAAATTACTATGGATTAAAACTTACCCTAGAACTGGAACCTGTCAAAATCAGTTAAAGATATATGTCAGTTAACAATTAAACGAAGAAAAAAGACTAGATTGATTGTTAAAAAGTGGATAATCGATTCTTTGTTAATAACAATAGATGCGTAGGAGATTTTGCATAGAAAGTTTTTTATTTATTTCTTTGAGCTTAGTTGAAAAAAAGAAAAAGGCTAGCGGCTTTTCAAGGTCACAGAGAAGTGTCCTCTTTACCTTGACCTCGTTTTTCGCTAAACAGCTGATGAGGATGATTGCAGCAAGGCCGACTTTACAGGATGCACTCTAGATAAAAAGTTGTTACTTTCTTTCTCGATTACTTCTTTTTTAGAAAATAGTTAAGTAGTTTTTAAACTTGATTGATAATTTTGAAATTATTTTTTTTTTCTCGTGATTTGAAGGATGCTTAAGTAGACTGAAACAATTTGGAAATTGCTATTTACGAAGATCTTAATGCTTAATACCAAATTTATTCTAAATACTGCTTAGTTAAACACTTGTTTTTAATCGAGATAATTTAAACCATTTAATTTTATATTTATAATTTAAATTATTTTTTCTAATGAGAAAAAATTAAATCATAAAATTGATTAAATTATTTAACTATATTTTGTTAAACATTGCCTGTACGCACCGTGTCCTATTAAATTAAAAATGAGCTATTGATATTATTTTATGTCTCAGGTATATTTCATTAAAACTCTAAACAGAATGAAAATTTGATTTAAATAGGGTTAATCGAAGCTAAATCCAAAACTACTACTATTTTCACAGTAATAAAATTGGTTGAAAGCTTATTAAAAGAAAAATGTATTATTTATATCTTTTTAAGTAGAAATGCTATATTTTGATATAAACTTCAATTATTTAATGTATCTAAAATATTGCTTATTATAATTCTTTTCTGTAACTATACTTATTTACTATAACTGTAGTTATTTAGTAAATCGTAATTATGACGATTAATCTTGTTTATTAATATATTTTTTGTTGATTTATTTTGTTGCTTAAATTAAGTCCGTTTCGGAAAGACATTTTTTTCTCTTTTTATTTAATAATTTAGTAGTACGAGTAGTTATAATATCTGTGCTACGAGTGGATTAAAACGAAGAAAATATTTCTATTTTTGTTGTAACTGAAACGAAATAAGTCAGGGAGATGATTTTATAACTGTCGTTGATCAGCTGACCTAATTTTGGGTTTACGACTTCTAATGTTCAACCCCATACCCTTGTAATTTTGAACCCAATTCAGAAGACAAGGGAACTCCTGTATCAAGTATTGGGAGAAATTTGCCTTCACGGAGGACTTTTTGATTAAACTTAACCGCATTTACGTTACATGTAGAGGAAAACCTCGCACTCTTAGCCAGACGGCAAAGAGACTTATTATCCGTCTACCACTGAGGATATTTTGTGGCAGCTCTGTGGTCGGTGAGAGCCAGGTGTGGAATTCGTATCGACCAGCCATTACTGGGATTCGAACCCGGTTCACCTCGTTGGAAGGCGAAAGCTCTTTTCTCTGAGCCACCACGGCTCTCAATGAATTAATTTAATTTTATAACAGTCGTTGAAGAGTCGACCAATTTTGTGGGTTTACGACTACTAATATTCAACCCCATACCCTTGTAATTTTGAACCCAATCCAGAAGACAAGGGAACATCTTGTATCGAGTATTGGGAGAAGTTTGCCTTTATGGAGGACTTTTTGATGGAACTTACCCGCATTTGCGTTACATGGAGAGGAAGACCACGATGACCTCCCACGGTTAGCCTAATGGCAAGGGGACTCCAACCCATGATCCGTTTACCAACGAGGATATTTTACATCAGCACTGTGGTCGGTGCGAGCCAGGTGCGGAATTCGTAACTATCAGTCGTCACTGGGATTCAGACCCAGTTCACCTCATTGGAAAGCGAACGCTCTATCCCCTGAGCCACCACAGCTCTCAGGGATTGATTGACGGGAAAAAGAGCACCGAAAGAAAAAACCAGAGGAAAAAAGCTCCAGAAAAAAAGCACCTCATTAATTATGAAATTGAGACGACTGATTCTTTCCGGGCTGTTGAACCCGAAATAGATGTAATTAAATAATTATTTGAATGTAATTAGATATTTCTTTGAAATTTAATTAATGTATGAGGATTTAATTAAGATTTAAAGAAAGGAACCTTCCCCGTTCTTTAAAAAAATTAATTAGATCTCTTCAGCAGTTTTAAAATTCTTCCAAATTTCACCAACTACACTTGTATTGTGATATCATAATAAACAAATAATACTTATTTCATTTTTTAAAAATTTTATTAAAGTGAAATATTTAATTATTTTTGTTAATATTTTTAACTATTCATAAAATTTACCCTCTGAGAGACTGCTGTTAATTTATAACAACACAACTATACATTATATAATTGTATTTACTATTTAAAAAATATAAACTATTAAAAGTTGCGTTCTACGAACTTCAAAGTAAGTTTTGCATTTTAATTTCTTCTTAAAAAAATATCTAAGATCGAATGACCATTTAATAGCATAAAATTCGGGCTTAACGGTCCGAATTGAATCGGGCGTTGCGTTTATTCTCGTATAATAATTAAAGAGGTGTTTTTTTTTTCTGGTTCTGTTCTTTCCGAAGTTCAGAGATTGGTGCGATGGATGTTTAATGCAAAAGTAGTACGTCCCACATTTATTATTATTATTACTATTTTTTAATAATTTTTTTTTGTGAAATTTTTTTTTCTCCATTTAAATGCACTAGAGAAACGTGATTTTTATTTTTATTTTTTCTCTTCATTAGACCTTCATTTACTCTTTATCTCCACGTAGATCTATCAATATCTCTTTTTAAATCTTCCTTCGTTCTTTCTTTTTTTCTCATTAGGTTTTCTTTTTCGTATCACTTAAGACCTTTATTTATTTAGTTTCATTTTTAGAAGGTAGTTAAAATTTCAATTGACGATACATTTTCATTATGCATGTACACGATTTATACTTCTTTTCTCATGCTTCACTATAATTATGAGATCTAGTTGAAATTTTAGCTCTCTAGATTATCAGAATATTGTCAAAATTTTGATTTGTTAGGAATTCTTCTTCTAATGGCATGACAGACTTTTGTGAGCGAGAACCTTCCCTAGAACCTTCCTTCATTTTGTTGTTTTCTTTGTGAATGTTCTGCTGTTAGTAATTATTAGGATTTTGATTTTTAGAATAGTACTTAGGATTTGGATTTTTAGGAAAGTACTTAGGATTTTGAGTTTTGGGATAGTACTTAGGATTTTGATTTTTAGGATAGTACTTAGGATTTTGATTTTTAGGATAGTACTTAGGATTTTGATTCTTAGGATAGTACTTAGAATTTCGATTTTTAGGATAGTACTTAGGATTTTGATTTTTAGGATAGTAATTTTTAGGATTGAAGTCACAGTCAAACCATCTAATCTTAGTCCTAAATCTAATTCTAGTTCCCATTGGTTTGTAATTGAAGATCTTATATGTCAAGGATGTCAATGGACTGATCGCAAAGACACAGCTCTCAGTAGAACACCGAAATCAAGCATCACTGGCTGCGCGGTCATTAAGCGGGTGGGTGACCACTTTAATCAGTCTGCGTTGGAACCGAGAGTGTGAGGTGTCAATCCGAGGTAAACTGTTCTACCGTAAAGTGGCAGACTTCGCGCGCGCAGGTCGTCTGGCTACCAAATCAGGGGAGCCATCCCTTCTGCAGAGGATCAGAATTACGAGGGCAAGTCTTCGGATCATCCTCAGAGAAGTTTCCCAGACCGTCGCCAATAACTCATTGTGCTGCTCTAGTGCGACGTAAATAAAGTACATACCTACCATTAGATAGATGTGACTGACAAGCTTTAAGCAACTTATTTTGATGTGTTTTCTTATATCAGCTTCCTTGATTAGCTTATATAGTTGAAAATTGGGCCGTTGTCTTCATAAGCTATCCACATTTCTCGATGCTTTTTGCTTAAAAACAGCAAGCAGGTCTGTTTGTAATTTAGTTAGACTATGTTTTGGATCCAGACTATATAAGACAGGTTATGCCATAATGCAGGCTTAATAATTGTCTTTTATAGTATTATTTTTGTTCGTCTTTTAATTAATTTTGACTTTAAAAATGTTCTTAAGCCGTGAAGGCATTGAATTGCTGTTATAATGCCTATCTTTATTTCTGCTTTTGAAAAACTCTATTTGGAGATAAAATCACAATTTCTGTTTGTAGTGGTCAAAAAACGATTTCGATTTTATATTTCTATCCCATAAAAATTCCAAAGCACTTTAGGTAGTCAGAAAGTGGTTAAAATATTGAATTGAAGATTTTCTCCTTTCGAACAATGAATCTGGGAAACGATATATTTTAAAAAATCCCAAACTAAAATAGCTTATTTTTTCGGTAGGGATCAAATAATACTTTAGTACCTCCATTATACTTTTCACTAATATTGATTTATTTTTATGTAACTTTAAATGACATTTATATTTTATGATACTAACACAGATGCTATTAATCAAAATTGTTTATTGATCATAGAACTAAGTCTATTTAATCAAAACGCTATACTTTGCATTAAATACCATTAAAAAGAAATTAAAGATAGAATATTGCACTCCCCTTTTAATCGAATAACCCATTTAATTGCATAGATTTGACTGGAACTGATGGTTCAAACACAAAAGCGAGTTAAGTAAGTGAAGGAAAATGTAACAATAAATGGACTCAGTTGTTTTATTAATTTTATTCATTTTTTTTCCAGCGATGTTTTCAAGGGGAATGTACCAGATACCGGCCAGCAGGTTTCACTCCTGTTGATGGCCAATGGGGAAAATGGAAACCTTATGGAAAATGTTCCCGAACGTGTGGGGGAGGCATTCAACAAGCATTCAGAGAATGTGATTCACCTAAGTAAGTTTTGTTTTTGTTCCATTTATTGCGATTTTATTGGTTTTAATTTCACACTACGCGTACAAAAAGTTAAAATAAAGCATTCTCACAACAGCCCATTGTAGGCTTGAAGCTTCTGACTCTACAATTTTCAAACTAACGATATCATGACATCAATGTGAATGGATTGGCATTGCGCACCAGCCTCCTTAACTTCCTTGACAAAGTGACACCCATTGACACTAAGTGTTGTTTTAGCCACTAAACATTTGTGGTTCATTTATAAATAAATTTTTATAAATATTTTTTCGAATAATTTATCAACAAGCCACCTCTATCATTCGAATGGTAGTGGTGGTTTGTTGATACAGCCATAGGTTGGCTTGTTGATACGAATTCTGCTTCCGGCCTGCTGTTGTTGTTGTTAATTTACGTCGCACTAGAGCTGCACAATGGGCTATTGGCGACGGTCTGGGAAACATCCCGGAGGATGATCCGAAGACATGCCATCACAATTTTGATCCTCTGCGGAGGGGATGGCACCCCCGCTTTGGTAACCCGACGACCTGCAAGCGAAGTCGACCACATTATGGTAGAAGAGTTTAACACAGACCAATACCACCCACCCTCGGTCCCTTCGCAGACAAATCCAAGTGGTCACCACCCGCACACTGACCGCAGCCAGTGATGCTTGACTTCGGTGATCTGCTGGGAACCGTGTCTTATCGATCAGTCCACTGCGGGACTCTTCCGGCTTGCTGCGACCAGCAGTGCTGAAATATTCTCGGTGGTAGCCAGATCATGGGTTAGAATCCCTTTGCCGTTGGGCTCACAATGCGAGATTTTCATGGTTCTCCTCTCTATGTAACGCAAATGTGAATTAGATTCCTAAAAAAATCCGCCAGGAAGGCTGATTTGACCCAATGCTTAATTCAGAAGTTCCTTTGTCTTTTGGATTGTGTTCGAATTTATAAGGCTTCATAGTTGAGCATTGACGCTCGTAAACTTAAAAGCAGGTTGGCTGTTCAACGCCACTTATAAAATGAAAATACATTTCTATCATGAAATTAGTTGCAGACGCTTGCCATGTTATTTGGGGCTCAAAAGACAGAAAATGTCCTGAAAGTTTTTTTTCTGGTTAACTTATTTATTTAGAATAGAATTCTATGAAACTTCTAGACAAATTTGGTTAGCGGTGGCCAGATTCGGAAGATTTTTATTCCTGTTATTATAGAGATAAAACTCAATAGTTGACAATTGAGGTCAACTGAAATGATTGATCAGCTTGACAGGTTGTACTGCATACCCGGTTTTATCTGACTAGATTTAATAAAACCGAGAATACTGTTATACTTCCAAAAACTATTCACCTTCCGAAGTGTAGTTTTTTTTAAATATTTAATAAGGTTTATTCTTGGAACCAAACGGCTAATTTTTCATTCAAATGTAAGCAGTTTTATTCACTTAGCCGTTTAGGAAAATAAGAGAAAACTTAAGGACTCAGTTTTTTCCAACTTTTACCCTATCCGCCAGTGTAAAACGCACTAATGAAGAAATAAGTTTAAACGATCAAGTAGAATGATGTTATCGTAAATATTTTTGAAGTAGATTTTGTTTTTATGTGTGCAGTTTGGTTAAATTACGGAAGTAGCAACGTTATATTTCAATTTTGCTTATGATATTTTTATCTGTTAATAATATTTGCTGTGTTCCGCAACCCACGTAACATTTTCAAATAGCATATCGTTTTCTAGTCTTCTTATATAATGCTTTATTTTAATAAATTTTCATTTAGAATTGCTTATTCTAGATGAAGACATAGCTTTATTCTAGACACAGCTCAAAATGCGTATCTCAGAAAATGAACATTGCATTTTTTTCAAACTTTTTAAAAAATGCCCTTACAGAGAACTAAATAGTGAATCAAAATAAATTCGCAATAATCTGTCATCAATTTGCATAAATCTTTCAAAAGATTTTGTTTAACTTAGATTTTTTTAACGACTTTAAAAGCCAATAGTTTTTTTTTTTTTTTTTTTTTTTTTTTTTTNTTTTTTTTTTTTTTTTTTTTTTTTTTTTTTTTTTTTTTTTTTTTTTTTTTTTTTGCAGGTCCTATATATTTATAAAGTTGTTTGTAAATTTAAGAGCAAGAATTTTGATTTTTTAATGCCACAATATTGCTTAGAGATCTGAATAAGAAGAAATCGCCTTAAAATTTACATCTGTAATATACCTAGTTAGCCCAACCCTGATATCCAGAACTTATCTCCGTAATTATTATGCTTAGTATTTGAAAAAGCAAACAAAATTTCTAGTTAATCAAGAACAAGTTATGGGCAACAAACAAGATATTCCAGTTTTTTTTCGAGGAAAAAAAAGCATTCCTCAGAAAAAATTATGATCACAAAATGCAGATTCGTATTCATCCCAAAAAAACATACATTTACAAGAAATAGAAACTATCAGCCAAATTTTACCAGGAAACGTTCATTTTAGCGCTCTTTCGAACTTCTTCTATTTCAGAAAAAAAAAACAAGCAGTTATAAGTTTGGAAACCTTACAGTTAATATCACTTTTTGCTTATTAAACATAACCTCAAGAAAATTAAATAATGGCAGAAAATGTATGACTTTTACCTAGAAATACGCAGCATAAAAGAAATTTAGAGCATAAATACAATAAAATATATTTCTTAAAAATTAAATCAATAAAATCCCGTTAAGTATTTTTAATTATTTTAATTACTACACAAAGACGATATCTTTTCATTCTTAGCACTTTTTACACATTGTGGGATGGCAATGGGAGACAGGGATCAAAAAGGGAACTTCAAATATATTAATTAATTAGTGCAGACGAGAATCTACAAAAATGTACATTCTCTGAATGGACATAAATTTTTTTCGATGGATTTGGATTTTTGATTATAGAAATATGAAGGAGATTGTCGCCAATGGTCCACTGGAAATACTGTCCCAATAATTTAATTAGGCGAGTGGTCAAAGTTTTGGCCCTCATGTTATTGTTAAAAAATGTTAATTTCACTTTCTACGTATTTCGCTATAAGCTATCGAAGTTTTTAAGCAATTCGAAAAAAATGGCAGACAAATTTAAACTCATATATCTACAGATAAGTCGTCGCAAAAATTTTTTAGTTATTTTTAATTTTCATTTTATGTACTAAAAACCAACAAAAAAAATGTTTCGAATTTTTAAATCATTTTAACTATACAATTTTAATAGAAAAAAAATGCAAAATTTGAACGAAACTAGTCGAAAACTTTATATAAACCTTTTTAAAACAAACATTTTAAAAAACTTTAACGTTTTAGACTAACTGTCGAAATATCAAAAAAAATTATTAAAATATATCTTAAAGTTAGATTAAAAAATCTAAATATAAAAGACAACGTTTGTTGACTTTCAATTCCGTTTAATTGAGTATTACAAAAGATGACTCTGTAATTTAATCCCTTGATCTCTATGGGAAGGTTAAATAAATGCCGTGTGGTATTATTTACTTTGGTGGGAAAAAATAAAAACTGAAAAAAATTCCAGTTTATTTCCCAGTTTAAAACGAAAAAAAATTCCATTTCCAATTTATTTATTCATTTATTTTTAGGCCGGCGAATGGAGGTCGCTATTGTACTGGAATCAGAGTAAAGTATAAGTCTTGTAACACTCAGGTAAGTTTTTTTTTTCTTGAAATTTTCTGATGAAACTTATAAATTTTTAAGAAGCGAGAAAAAAATGAAATCCTGCTTTATAAGAAGAAATTTACTTGATGTTTAAGATGAATTTTTAAAAGCTTAAGATTTTGCGTTTTTCATTTATAACTTGATATGATATATAAAGGACCAGCCCTGATGCTTAGCTTATTAAGATAGAGGAATTGTTTTATTTATTTATTTTTTATGAGAAAACGCATACTCATGATAATAACTGCTTTCCAAATTAAAAAGGTAAGCAATAAGCGTAATAAAAAGGTCTAAAACATTTTAAAATCTATTTATTATCTATTAATTAAGTTAGTCCAAAACGTATGAAAATGGTCAAATATCTTATACGCATCCGATCTAAAAATCTAAAAATATTCAAATGAAATATTTTCAACAAAAGCATTTAATAATACAAAATTTGACGCCTCAAACTCAGTCCCTGGGATAGGGGAAATCGTAACCCCCAGTTTTAATTGCAGATTTGGATTCTGCAGAAAAAGCACACATTTTAGTTTATATCTGGTATTGCAATCGAAAATTTAAAATGAGGTCAAAATTTTTTGAAATTGAAATACCTCAATTAATACATGTTTAATGTAAATAATGAAAAAATAAAATAAAAAATTTCGTGTTTGGTAATTTTGACAGCAAACTCATCCCTCTAAACAAAACTTAGCCCAACCCCATTCTAGTCTGGTATTAGGTTTTGTTTCATAAGTTATCTTTTTTTAAGTATCAAACACGACTATTTTTATTTTTACACTCTCTCTTGTATTTTTCGAGATCTCTATTTTAAGCAATTTTACCGCATTTTTCATCTTTTGATTACAACGCCACCTGATAACTAAAATACTAACTGCTGCAAGCCGTGTTTAGGTATTTTTTTTTCCCAGGAGATACCATACCTGCAATAAAAAGTGAGGGTTCATGCTTCAGATTTTAAAGTTTTCCTTCACCACACCCCTATGCGTAAGTTTGGGGGTCAAGTAAGGTATAGTTGAATGCATTTTTTAAAAATAATTTTTGTTCATTTTTGATCAGATGCTTAAATCTCGATATTTTATACCATTCCCATTCTTTTTGGACACCCTGCACGCAAATTAGTTTAGAGAGTTTTAACTTTTTGTTTGAGAGAGAATGTTATTTTCTTATCTATTTTATTTCTACAGTTGCGCTTTTCTCCGTCATTCCTTTCACCTGAAATAAATTAATACATTTTAATTATTAAATCTAACTGCATAAAGTATGTTTATATATAACTCCCTACTTTTTGTTATTATTATTTATTATTATTATGATTATTATTATAATTATGATTATTAGTATAATTATTATTACTATTATTATAATTACTATTATTGTTACTATTATTATTATGATTATTATTATTATTACTACGATTATTATTATTATTATTATTATTATTATTTTTATTATTATTATTATAATTATTATTATTATAATTATTATTATAATAATAATAATTATTATTATTATTATAATTATTATTATTATTATTATTATAATTATTATTATTTGTTGCTATTATTAGGAATGTCCTCCTCGAAGTAAGGATTTCAGAGAAGAGCAATGTGCTGAGTTCAATGGTCGAGTCCTGGATTTACCTGGTTTACCTCGATCTGTCCTATGGGTACCTCAATATTCCGGAAGTAAGCAAAAAATTCTTATAATTATATATAATTATCAGTTAATATCTTTTAGTGTTGTCTGGGCGAAGTTACTTATAAAATTTTCTATGACAAAAGGAGTACGAATGTTTTTCAAGCATCAACGCGACAGATTTTTCATTATAATCTTATTACACTATGCAGGATGTTCTCAATTGATCACTTTTACCATAACCTTTGTCAAAAATGTTTATTACTATATATTGTATTATATATCGCTATATAGTGTTTGAAAGGACAAAAACTTATTAACGATGTTGAAAATCTCTTCTTAAAAGACAATTTTTTTCAAAAATCTAAAAAAAATGAATAATACTAAACAACCGTTCTTATATCTCATTCTAATCGGCAGATAGATGACCTTGTATTTTTCTTGATTCGAAAAATGATTTCGATATCTACCATCAGTTCATTTTTGTCTAAATTTTATTTTACAACCGGTGTTGTACGGCTATCCGGTACCGGTAACCGGTGTTGTACGGCGGTGTTGTACGGTGTTGTACGGAATTGTACGACTATCAATGTACAATTCCGTAGCCTTGTAATTTCGAACCCAATCCAGAAGACAAGAAACACTTGGATCAAGCATCGGGACACACTAGCCTTCGTGGAGGACTTTTCGATGGAATAAACCCACATTTGCGTTACATTTATAGGATAACAACGAAAACCTCTCATGGTTAACCCGATGGCAAGGGGATTCAAACTCATGAGCCCTCTACCACTGACGATATTTTACATCAGCACTGTGGGTCGCTGCGAGCTGGAAGCAGAATTCGTAGCAGCCAGCCACCTCTACGCTTCGAACCTCAGTCACCTGTTTGGAAGGCGAACGCTCAATCCCTTAAACCACTGCGGCTCACCATTTCATTTGGGAAAATAAAATTTTAAAAAAATTGAAGAATGTTTCCTATTTTTCCTCTCTTTTGACAGTTTAGATCGGTCAGAAGGTAAGATGATTCTAAACTAAAAGCTCTGATAACTCTGATTAAGTTTAAATTTAATTCACAGTAAAATTTTTAGAGGCAATATTTTAATTTTATCTAATTATAGCAAATTATTGCGTATGAAGTTTTCGTAAGTACCTCAATTATTATTTTTCATGCAAAAGGGGACGTTGGTCATTCATGATGTTAACTAACTTACTTTAACACTAAAGCAGTCTTTATTTTTTATTTTTCTTGGATATTGCTGAATCGTTTAAAATAGAATTAAGTTTCAATCGCATGATTACTCGGTAATATCTCTAACAAATAGCAGCACTAGATAAGCTATATTTTACTGAGTGTGAGAATTATCAAAAAAGTAAGTTTGTATTTGATGCCTATTCAAGTTTTATAATTGAAACTGCGCCACTATTTGAGCAAAAAATAGATTAACTACTTTAAACTTATTTATCCGTCTTTAAAATAATTTCTAAATACTTTTAAGTATTTTCTTTTTATGAAATATTTTTGTTAACAAAAATGCTATTTTCTTACTCGCAAAATAGTGATTAGTTCAAATCACGCAATGATTACAGCGTTGATAGTTTTTATCTTAAATTGATTAAGCTAACTTGGGATCCTGAAATAAAATTTTACTGGTGATATTTTTTTAACTAGAAAAGTAATCTGCATAAAAAGGTAATATTTAGTTTACATAACATTAATAGTAGAATTCAAGTTTAGCAGTAGTTATCATTACTGTTACATCTTTTCGAAAGGTACATTTATAGACGGAGGCAAAACTTTCTCAAAAAACTAAGTATTCAAATCAGTCACCATTCTTTTTCAGCAAAAAATGTCTACGCCCACGTAAGAGTTATATCAAATTGAAATCATTATTACACAAGAGGGGTGAAAAACCTACTACGTTCGTGAGCATTTCTTAACCCTTTAGCGCAGGTGGTGTCTCTTTTATATATTTTTTCAGACTCTCTAATTGCTAGCTCTAATTATATTTTGGTATTTTTTAATTATAAAAAACACTGTAATGGTTACTAAAAAAATCTGCTAGATTATCGGATTTATATTTGAGCTAAAATATAAAATACAAAAAAAGTAGTTTGAATAAAAAAAAAAAAAATTCATATTAAAAAAGTTATCAATAATTGATATTGTAAATTAAAGTCATTTCTATGATGAATAACTATTTTTCTTAAATCTAAATAAATACAAATAAGAGCAAATTTGAAAAATTATTGTTTGAAAGTGAGCCGTGTTTGTAAGACTTTACCTTTACCGCAGGTAAAAGACACCGGTGTTTCATACTGTCTTTCATAATCATAAAATATTTAAAAAAAATATAATATTTTCCACTTAATTTGACCTAAATTAGTTCAAAATTATGAAAAAAGCGTGAAAACATCATAACTTTATTTTCATTTGAATAAATGGGTAATTGAATATCCGATAGGCCATATTGCCTTCAGATAAATCATCTACGAACTAACTCTAAAAATAAACAAAGTAACAAAAAAAATGTTTGATTAAAAGTATTCTGCTACGCCATCGACTGGGAAAAAAAGTCTAATTTCAAAAAAAAAAAAAAAAAAAAAAAAAAAAAAAAAAAAAAAAAAAAAAAAAAAAANAAAAAAAAAAAAAGGATTAACTTGCTTATTTCACATTTGCATGCATTAACTTTAATTATGGATCTTCCACATTTTTTATCTGTAACACCCTCTTCTAAATAGATGAGCCGGCACCTTTTTGTACCTTCGAAAACTAGCACTATAAATTCCTTGGCACGAACTAAAAAATAACAGTGATGAGATGTATAAATATTACTAGCCATGTATTAAAGTTAGTCACGATCTGGACTCAATCACCTGCAGTTTCACCTTTTACCCCAATCCTTATGAAGATCTCCACTATTTATCTAAATAACCCTTTAAGACTTTTTTTTCCCTTGTGGATGACTCACTGTAGATTGGAAAAAGAATTCAATAACTTATTTCATTACTGACTTTTAGGCTAGAAAAACGTCTACCTGCTGTATTTTAAATTAGGCATTAAAAGAAGCAAATTGTTAAATCTACAGTTGGCAGGTATATATATAAAGAAAAGCAAGAAAATTGAGAAAATTAATAAGTTTCATTTACTGTGCACAAGCTGCAAGTATATGGAGCAGATAAAATAAGTTAAAAGAATAGAGAAAATATGGAAAATAATGTAACAAAGATTAATGAAAAGAGAGGAAGAAAAATTATGAAAATAAAATATTTAAAAAAAATTATTAAAAAAAATTATTGGACAGCCGGAAAACAAAATAAAAAAAAAATCTCGTCATCATCTCGCACGATTATATCCGCAAAAAATAGTGCTTTCAAATATTGTACTAATATGGCCAAAGCAAAATATATCAATACATTAGTATGAGGAGTACTCAAACAAATTGAAATAAAAATAGAACACATTTAGTAAAAAATATACGAAATAAAACATATTGAGCAAAAAACAGTAAGCAAAACGTTAGAAAAATACAAAACAAAACACAAAATGCGATCTATGAAGCTAGTAGTGAATTCAAATGAACTTACACATACCGGAATCGTTCAAAAATGATATTTAATATTTTTTTTCAAATAAAATTTTTACTTTCAAATATTTTTAAAAATATTTAATTTAAATAATCTTTTTTCTTCTTTTTCCATTATTCTTTATTATATTATTTTCCATGTTTTCTCCACATTTTCAACACACACTCATACATACGAGGGTTGTAAATTAAATAGTGGCAACTTAACCTTTAAACTCACAGAAGGACGGGCATGCGCAAATTAGATATGGGAGCTGTGAGGTGGGGCTGTTGTCGATGTGTAGAGTGCAAAAAGAAGTCGATTAGCTTAGAAGGGTAGTTGTTGTGTGGCGTTAAAGTGAGGAGTTTCGTTTCCATCGCTCTAAAGCATGTTTTCAAAGGGTGATCAGCGGTCGTGGCTTACAATCGAGGTTGCCCGTGGCAAAAATGCAACAGAATGCTATCGAGGATTAGTGGAAGCCTTTGGAGCAAATGCTTTACCATATAGGACAGTAGCACGATGGATTCAAGCATCTCGTCTTTTTTCGTCATTAAGCCTTTTCACAACATGCTTTAGAGCGATGGAAACGAAACTCCTCACTTTAACGCCACGCAACAACTACCATTCTAAGCAAATCGACTGTTTTTTGCACTCTACACATCGACAACAGCCCCACCTCACCGCACCCATACCCTATTTACGCATGCGCGCCCTTTTGTGAGTTTCAAGGTTAAGTTGCCACTATTTAATTTACAACCCTCGTATATATATATTCATCGAAAAAACTGCTGTCCGGGGAAAATTTTGTACATTATCTTCTATCCAGGGTGAATTATATCAAATAATAAACTTTCAAAAACAAATAATAAACTTGATAAAACTTTCCCCTGGACGATGAATTATAACAAATAATTCACTGTTCAGGGGAAAGATTTATCAAATATTCATCAGTTATTAAATTCTTTAATTTTTCTCACAAATACCAGATTTTTACACGTGGTTGATTAAAAATTATCTGATGCCGTAGAATTTTCACTATTAAGAAGCAATATTAATGATTACAAGGGCCCACATTGAAAATAACTATTAAATAGTGTAGACGATAATCTAAGTTAGAAGTTGTACACAAATAACTTACTTTTTCTAAATATACGGATTTTTTTCGTTGAATTCTGATTTCTGACCCTGCAAATTGTGAAGTAGCAACAATTTGATAATTTGTGCACTCATTTATTAAACTCGATTACCAAAAGATTTCAATAAAAAGTTATTCTTTAATACGAATTCAAATTTTCAATAATTTTCGAAGCGTTTTTACATCTTCTTTTTAAGGAGTAATTCTAAAATAAAAAATCTCAAATTTGAAAGCAAAAAATTAAATAGCTTCTGAGAATAGAATTTTAAATATTATTAATTAAACTGTTTAAGAATTCGCCGCTTGAATTTTATTCGAATTTTAATTTTTAGCTGTTTTAACTTTAAC